AGTGGATGATCCAAGGAGATGTGGCAGACAATGAAGGATGGGGAAGCTATTAGCCCAGTTTCGACAGGCAAGCCAGCATGTAAGAGCGGCCTATTGCGTCACTCCCTCGTCCTTCTGGCCAAGTGCCGTGACCCTGATGGGACCCGTAGTCAGCACCAGCGAGGGTGAGCATGAGACCATACTGCTTCTCCTGCCTACTCTTCAAGCCTTCAGCATAGGGATTTCCTCAGCTGGAAGTGGCGTCACTTTATTTAGTAATCAAAGTTTGGGGGTTTTGTTTTTATTTTTTTTCCCCCCAGAAATGTGTCTGACGGTTCTTTAACCCACCTGGACCCTTGGCCCCTGCAAGACAGCCCGTAGCCTCCCTGTGCCGGCTCTGAACCAGCTGCTCCCTAATTCCAGTTGATACTCCCTGTTTCATGTCTGTGAATGGTTGATCCCTCTCCCCCTCCCAGAGCCATCTGTGATCTTGTACCTCTCTCTCCTGTCCCCCACCAGCTGCATCTTTTCCTGGAAAACTGTGTGTTTCTACTTTTCCAGGTCTGGAAACCATGCCGTGTCCCACTACAAAGTATTGCCCATCCACATCTGTTAAATCATTTCCAGTCCCAAGTTGGAGGAACCCAAATGCGCACAGTATTTCAGTTGTGAACTCCCCACAGGCTTATACAGTGGCATGGCGGCGTTTCTCTCTTCTTCTCCTTTCCCAAGTGACTTCCCCAAGATCACGCTAGACTTAGTAGCAGGGGTGGGAACTAACTCCATGGCCCTGCAAGGGTCTCCCAAGGTGTGTTGCCTTCCCTGAGGACCTGGATGGTGTCCCCCATCTCATGGGGCTCTCTCTTCTCGCTGGCAGGTGTAAGGAGTGCTCCAGCACGCTGCTCCCGGGGTCGTACAAGCCTGGGTCAGAGGCAGGGACTTTTGTCTGCATGCAGCATCGTGGTAAATTGGCTGTGAGTGGGAAGGCGGAGCGGAGGCCCAGCCCAGACCGACAGTCACCAGAGCTAAGAACTGAAACTGGGGCTGGAAGCGTGGGTGAGGATGCCCTCGCCGCAGAAGCAGAGGTGGGGAAAGACGATGGCAACTCCCTGGAGAGCATGGCAGAGACCCAGATGCCTGCGGAAGTGCTAGCTGGCCCAGCGGAGAAGGACAGCACGCCCAGCAAAGCAGAGACAGCGATGCCCCCTGCTCACGCAGGCAGCGGGGCGCCCATCTCCCAGACTCCCCCCAGACCTCCCCTTCCTAGCAAGCCCACGCTGCTCACCCAGGACAAAGCCTCGCTGGATGGACGGCTCAGAGACATGCGGCCCACGCCTGCCCCAAGGAGGGCCACCAATGGGTCAGCCCTCTCTCCTCCAACCTCTCACCCTGTCCCCCGGCCCAGGTCCACTCTCCAGGGGGAGAGCAGCGAGTGCGGGCCTGGCATGGTGAACGGTAAGAGAGCACAGTGGTGCCAGGGGTTTCCTGGCAGGTGGTCGGCTGCAGGTTGGATGAGTTGCATTCCTTCCCTGCAGCCTGATGCCCTTCTTGCCTCCAAATAAATATCAAGCTCAGACACCGAGTTTTCGATTGTCAGCCATCCCCATAGCAGGGAGAGCAGCGGTAGGTTTCAGGCCTGCCTGCTCCCTTATATTTCTCCAGGGGTTGCTGCCAGTGTGGAGGGAAGGTGGCAGTGCTAGAGCAGTTTGCAGGTGTGGGGAGAGAGGGGCATGTCAGTTCTCCAGGTGCAGCTGCTGGGGTGGGGTGGGGAGAAAAAGGCAAGGGGGATGTTTGGGGTTGACTGACTGCACCGACTGTGAGAGAAATGCCGTGAAGTCTTCAAAGAGTGGGAATAGCCACTGTAGCCAGTAGATGTGCAAGAGGTGCCTCATGTTGATTTAACCTCTTTCTTCATGTCCTTTTGGTGTTGTGACAGTCTGACCCTGTGTCTTTCTAGGTAGGGTACCTGAACCCAGCCCCCCTGTCCCAAAACCCCGAGGGAGACCCTGCTCCTCTGATCGGTACGTCCTTCTGTTCGCAGATCACCTGCAAACCCCATAGCAAGGTCGGGCTGTGGAGATGGCTGGGCTGTGGTCACCTCTCCCACCTCCATCAGCCCCTGCTCTTAGGAGGATGTAGGCTGTGATCAGGTCCCTTCCCTTGCCTAACAAGTGCCAGCTCGGTATGGTCAGGCTGAAAGTGTTTGTACCTCCCAGGGTCTTTCTCTCTTAGGGTTTATAAAGAGTTGGGGCACTTCAGAAAGGTGTTCCTGTGGCACATGCAGACTGCCACGTGCCTTCTGAAATGGCCCTGCTTGTGGGTGCTGAGAAGGGGACACTTGTCTGCCTTGCAGATGGTTTGTCCTGGGAAAGGTCCAGTGCAGGGATGTTGTGAGTGCCTGGCTGCAACCTTTACACCTCCTGGGCTCTCACCTAGGAGCCTGCTGGTTTTGGGTCATTCTTGCCTGCTCTTGGGACAGAGGTTGCACAAGCCACCCCGCATTCACAACGGCCAAGGAGCGGGTGTGTGCGGCAAGTGACGGCCGCTTTCCTGATGAGCAGTGACTCACTGAGCCGTGGTGTGGGCCTGCTGTGGGTTGTGCCCCCTGCGGAGCAGCAGTGCTTCCAGCCACGGGAGTTAGCGAAGAGGAGTCTGTCCCTGGGATGCTCATTTGATAAGGTGATGAGCAGCCCTCTGAAGTGTAGGCAGGTATCTTACCTGCCCTCTGTGGCAAGTCAAGATACCTTATCTTGACTCCCCCTCCATCCACAGCCTGGGGAGCAGAGCTGGGTGTAGGAACAGGGGAGGGGAGAACAGCTGTGCCTGTAAAGCTCAGCCTTTACCACTGCTTAGCAGATGGAGACTGTAACATTCAGAAACCAAAACGCTGGGCCCGGTGGGGAAGTTTCCTTGCTTCCCTCAGCTTCCCATAGGTTTGCCTGCAGAGAACAAGACACTGTGTCTGGGGAAGGCTAGGGCCACCCTTGGATGACGGAGCTGCTTCTGCATGGGAGACATCCTTCTCTATCCATCCTTTCCCCCTAGGGCTAAGCCCCTCTCCTGTGCCTTGCCGTCCCAGCTTGTCTCTGCTCCCTGCCACCTTGATCTCTTTTCCCAGTGCCGCTGTGAGAGCCAAGGACCCACCATGGATGGCCTTAGTGCAAGCAGAACCCAAGAAGAAGCCAGCTCCCCCTCCTCCCCCAGGCAGCAGCCACGAGACTCTGAGCAGGACTTCAGAGGAGGAGGATGGGGAGGAGGTGGGAAAAGCTGGGAGCGAGGAGAGTAAGTCTGATGCCACAGAACCCAAATCGTATAACCCCTTTGAGGAGGAGGATGAGGAGGAAGAGGAGAGTGCTACCACCCAAAAGAGCACGCCTGAGCAGGAGCAGAATGAGACCGCTGCCAAGCCTCTCCACCCCTGGTACGGCATCACTCCCACCAGCAGCCCAAAGGCGAAGAAGCGGCCAGCTCCACGAGCCCCCAGTGCTTCCCCACTAGGTGAGCTTCCCCCCACTCCCTTCTCCCTCCTTCACAACCCCTGTGTGGCCCCTTGGAGGCTCCCCCTTCCCAGGCACCTTTGCATCACCCTGGCAGGCCAGGTCTTTATGCAGTGATGGTTCTGCTGGGACTTGAGTTAGCCATGTCCTCTCTACCCACTAGAGCACAGCATTTGCAGGCAAGACCTTTGCGTTGGTGGGTCCCTTCTGTCTTCTCTGAAGACAGACAGACACTGGTTCCCTTTGCACTTGCCCCTGCCTCTAATATATACCACTTCCCAGCTGCTCCCCCATTCCTCCCTGAGCTCTTCCTTTGCTTTGCAGCCCACCACCCCATCTCCAGGCTGTCACACTCTGAGCCATCATCCTCCACCCCATCTCCAGCCCTCAGCCTTGAGAGCATCAACTCCGAGAGTTCAGCCAAGGTGCTGGGTGACACTGATGAGGCCTCAGTGCCCAAGAGCTCCTCCGAGCCCACTGTCCACACGCCAACGGCTACCAAGACCTCTAGCACTGACACGCCGCTG